GGGACCCCCACACACATTAAATTTGCAAGGTTAAAAAAACACTGGTCTAGATGCTGGCTGAGGAATTCTGGGAGTTGAAGTCCACACACCTTAAAGTTGCTGAGGTTGAGAAACACTGGTCTAGGTGCTGGCTGGAGAATTCTGGGAGTTGAAGTCCAGATACCCTAAAGTTGCTAAGGTTGAGCAACGCTGGTCTAGATACTGGCTGGGGAATTCTGGGAGTTGGAGTCCACACACCTTAAAATTGCCAAGGTTGAGAAACACTGGTCTAGATGCTGGCTGAGGAATTCTGGGAGTTGAAGTCCACACACCTTAAAGTTGCCAAGGTTGAGAAACACTGATCTAGACCACATCTCCTCCACCAGACATCCAACTTCTGGTTAAAACATAAAACCGCTGCTTAAAAGGCCACTTTCCAAGGCGGATGGCTTTCCTGTCACCCAATCATTAATATGCAATTGGACCCCGCTTTTCATTGGGGTCACTTCCAAGTCAAATGTGGAAATCTGTGCCATTCCCTAACTAACTAACATCCAACTCCAGCTGTTGGAAGATGCCTTGGTCACTGTCTCATTCCTGAAACCGTCTCTGCTGCAGGTGACAGAGCCAAGAGCTCTTCCAAGGTTTCGTCTGCTGCTTTGATTTGGATGAACCAATAAAACGGGCATGCAGTTAACAATAATATTTGCAACTCCAGCAGTAGACTTCGTTTGCCTTTGGCATATATCACAGACATTCCTGGTAACAAGCATTAATCCTCGAAGAAACCTCTGACATCACTGTCAGATCTGGCTGATAAATTCCATAAACACTCGCCTTTTACAATACAAAGGAGAGGCGTGTTTTTGCTCCGAGGTCCAAAGAACACACAGGGACCTCACCAGCCTGGGATAGACAAGATTTTTGGCTTCTTTATTGCCATTTTTTTTTTTTTTTTGCAGTTTGGGAGGAAAAGAAAATAGCTTGTCTGCTTTAATGTTCCACATTAAAAACGGGCAAGGCTTCTATATACCATTGCAGCCGCCATCTTGACTTTTTGGACCATAATGTGTCTACAGGAGGCCTATGTCTTTTGATGGCTAAAACTAAAGCTAAGATTTAGCATTAAAACTAAGCCAGATTTAGCATTTGGCTGCCAATTTTCTACTTTGGACAACTGGAGGAGAATTGCCCCCAAAAAGGGGATCTGGAAGAATCAGAAGAGACCCTTCTTCCTTTTTTATAAGGAATTCATGAATGACACCGGAAACCATTATCCTCAGACTGTGACAGATAACGCTGCAGAGGATAGAAAAGGAGGAAAGATTACTCCGCCTGTGTGCTCTAATGAAAAGTATTCATGCCGATGGCTATCCAACCCATAATACCACATACTTTGGCCCCCTTCCTGCTTTCTTTGTTAAGGAACAGAAACACTCGTACAGAAAGGTAAAAGTTTCCTGCACTTCAAACTCAACTCCTGGTAACTTCATGGACAAGTTGGTATTTCCCGAAAGTGGAACCTCCCCACGTTATGGGGAGGAATGGTATGTTCCTTGAAACGTTCCAGATCAGAAATGTTCCAGATCAGAATCAGGTCCAAGCTGATCGTAGTAACTCCCTTAGAACACCTCTTATGACACTGCCTCCTTCTAAAGCAGTGCTTTTCAAACTTGGCCACTTTAAGCAGGGCTGGCCGGGGAATTCTGGGAGTCGAAGTCCACACATCTTAAAGTGGCCAAGTTTGAAAACACTGTTCGAAAGGAACAACGGTCTATGCCATTTGCTTAGCAACTGTGCAGACATGGTTTTCCCTTGCCTCCTCTGCCTGACTTTCCAGTCCACCCCATCATTTATTTATTTATTTATTAAATTTCTCCCCCACCCATCTCCCCCCAGTGGGGGACGCTGGGCGGCTCACACCAAACATTAAAACCATAAATACATCCAAGTACGTAAAACATAAAAATTTTAAAATCATTACTAAAAAAGAAGAGAGTCCAAGAAGATGAAGTATCTGGGGCTGAAGACAGCAGGCCTCTACAGGGATCTCCTGTTGGTCTCCCATCCCAGGGCTCACCAAGTCTGATTCTGCTGAGCTCCCGAGACCAAATCGAGCCCGGCAGGCGCTTCCAACTGTCAAGACAGGTGTGCGCCTCCATACCCACCATATAAATACAGTTATACACTCACCCAACAGCAGCAGCTTCAGTTCCCATCGATCCCGTTTCTTCTGTTCTTGAAGGAGCCGGCTGATTTCTTTATCTATCACAATGGCATTCTTCTCGTCTTCGGACAAGAAGCACAGGCACCAAACCATGATGCTTCCCGGACCGGTCCAGATTCTTCCAAAATCAGAGGGAGAACCCTGGAATCAGGATCGGAAACGGGAGCGCCGGCCGAGTCTTTCCACCCGTGTCCTGCCTGAGCCGACGGGCATCGATCCCTCCCTGGAAGTGGCGTCCAGAAGAAATGGTTTGGAGATCAAGTTTCAGCAGGGCAAAAAAACCGGGCTGGGATCCAACCGGTGCCAGCAATGTCAGCTGGGATGTTTCCACCGTCAACATGCATGGGAAGCTGTCAATGAAGTTTCCAGCCCCATTTCTGGTCCTTATCCCTTGGGGTTTGGATCCAGCAAGAGGTCACTGCAGGCTCCTTCCAGGACGCCTCCCCTGCAATCAGACGCTTAGCTCCTTTCCATGTTTTAAGAAGTATATGTAATCAGCTGAGGGTGAGAGAAAGAGAGAAGTGACACAAATCAGGGTGAAAACTGCACGTTCATTCTCCCCGCCAAGTTTCATTTCCTTGTTCCCGCTCGAAGCTTTCTTTCCGTAGTCTGGGGACAAGGAGAGCAAGTAAGTTCCTCGGCTAATCGGCATCTCTTTTCGCGTGGGTCAAGCCAGTCTGCTCTGATTTCAGAGCGTGGGGGAAACCGTCGCCCTGGCGAGAGCGGGTCCTTAGCAGAAACTGCCCTCTTTTGTGTGAATCACCCTCTCCTTAAGTTGCTAAAATATATTTCACGCTTCCCACCTGGATAATCGGGGACCACCTTGGAACAAAGCCACCTGCGTCCAGAACTCCAAAATGAATTTCCCAGCTCAGAAGAACTTCTGGACTGAAGTTGGCCTCGTTTCTCTTCCCTCCTCTCCCCCCAGCTGCCTCTCTGTGTCTGGATGCCCTCCCTGGAAGCTGCTGCCCCCTCCTTACATTCTACTGTAAGGGTGCCAAGCAAAGCCTTCTTTAAGTCGAGCACGGTTCCTACCGATGGTGCAAGCGGGCACGTCCGTACTGCTCACGGAACAGCAGAACAGAAGTGGTTTGCCATTGGTTTCTTCTGTGATGTGATTTTTTTCCCTGTTTCCCAGTTTAATCAATATTCCTGGGGTTTCCTGTGGCCTCCCCTCCCAGGATTAACCAGGCTCACCCTTGCTTAGCTTTTGAGTCCAGGAAAAGTCAGCCAGGGGCTAACAGCTGCTGAGACAATTCTATCATTAAGCCTACATTCATTGGTTTGACCTTAACCCTAGTCTACCTTCCAGGCCTTCAGTTTCTCAGGGCCCAAGGATTAACCAGATCCTTACAATCCTTTACAACTCTACAGTTCTGATTAGTTTTCCTGCACATTGCAGAGGGTTGGGCTAGATGATCCTTGGGGTCCCTTCCAACTCTGCAGTTCTATGATTCTATAAATTTTGGGATAGGTAATGTGGGGCCGAAGGACTTCTCCATTTGTCCTAGTCCCATTAGTTTGCCCCCCCCCCAATTTCCAGATCTTTATTATCATGCAAAGAATTCTATCTTTTCTTCAGAAAGGAAGCAAGTTTCTAGTCCTCAGCTCACAGAAGACTGACTTAACTAGGAATCAGCCCTACATAATACGTTGGCCATTCTAACTGGCATCGGGGCTTCCCAGAAAATAATTTTTCTTAGCTCCACACGGCAGCGCCAAGGACTGACCTTCTCTGTGGTGAACTGATTAAGGTACCGGACCAGGACACAAAGAGCTGAGTTCAAGTCCACACCCAGCCAGAAAAGCTGCCTGGGAATGATTTTAAGCCAGTCACTATTTCCTGATCCAAACCTACCTTGCAGGGCTGTTGTTGGGAAAATGGAGGAGTGAGAGTGTTCTGGGACAGTGTCTTCAGGCCTAAGAGGAAAGTCAGAATATCAGCTAACAAATTAATAAAGAAGAACAAATGCAAGGCGAGCCCCAGGCCACTTGGCCACCATTTTCTAAGTCTGTCCAATGTTCCAAAATTCCTCTCCTGGAAACCAGGTGAGGAAGATGCGAGAAGAAAGATGGATTAGAGCAGTGTTTTTCAAACTTGACAGCTTTAAGGTGGGTGGACTTCAACTCCCAGAATTCTGGGAGTTAAAGTCCTCCCATCTTCAAGTTGCCAAGCTGGTTGGGGAATTCTGGGAGTTGAAGTCCTCCCATCTTAAAGTGGTCAAGGCTGAGAAACACTGGTATAAACCAATGCAAATAGAAAATAGAAAACAGATAAAGAAAATAAAATAAAAGAATAAAGCACCAAGCGGTAAGCAAGGAAGATGGGAGAAGAAAGATGGATTAGAGCAGTGTTCTTCAAACTTGGCAACTTGAAGATGGGAGGACTTTAACTCCTGGAATTCCCCAGCCAGCATGCTAGTTGGGGAATTCTGGGAGTTGAAGTCCTCCCATCTTCAAGTTGCCAAGCTGGCTGGGGAATTCTGGGAGTTGAAGGCCTCCCATCTTAAAGTTGCCAAATCTGAAAAACAGTGGCTTAGAGGAAGCAAAGCAGGGGCGTTCCAGGGTGTGGTCCAAAAAGTCACATGACACAAAAAATGGGTCGAGCTTCGGTTGCACCATCACAGCCACCATACTGACTTTTCTGACCCTATGCTGCAGAGATCCTTGCAAGCAAAGCAAGGCAGATGGCTTATCCCGACCACAAGTACCTCAAATGAGGAAGCTCTCCGGGGGTGATGCCTGCAGCTCTCCCGATGCTCGCAATTTCTCAGAGGCGAGGATTCCATGTGGCTGAAGTAAAGGAGCGGAAATTCAGGAATCCTCCCAAGCCCCGCTGGGCAATGGGGATACCGCACAACGGTTGCTTTCTCACACGTCCCCAGAAGCGCTTCCGTTCCTTCGGGAAGACCCTTGCCCCCCTTCCACGTGCTCGGCCACCCACGAGCCCACCGTCCCCATAAAGCTGCCACCGGCTGAAAGGCCACCACGCAGGGACAGACACCTCCCCCGGCCCCGAAACTCCCCCAACTCACGACCCCTTTGCACGCGTTTGTTCTCCCTCCCTGCGGAACCCCAGACCCGCCTTGCACCGAAGGCCAACCGAGGAAGGGAGAGAAGAGGAGGGCAGCCCCGAGATCTCCCCCCAAAGGGGAGTCTCTCCTCCCCGGAGAGAAGCCCCGAACGATGGGCTACCGAACTCCTCTTGAGATCTGCGGCCGCCGTCCAAGCCCGCTTGGATCTCGGGGGAAGAGGCAGGGTCGCGCGCCGCAGAGGAGGGGGAGGACTCCGCCGGACCCCGCTTTGGGTGGCTCTCTGCTCCCCAGGGCCCATCCCGTTTGCTCACCCAGGCAGCGGAGATCTACAGCCAGCCCCCCAACCCGCCGCTTCCCGCTTACGAAGCAAGCAGACGTTCGCATCAGCACCACTTAAAACAAAACTTTGAAGGGACGCGCCGCTTCCTCCTTTCTCTTCGTGGGAACCTCCAGCGCAGAGTTGCGCCTTTCTGCGCCCGGCGCGGTCCGGCTCTCCTGGCTGGCGCCCGGCTGCGTGGGTGCCCTTCCCGATCGGCCCTCTCGACTCCGGTATCTTGCGTGAGAGCCTCTGAACGCGGGAGAATCCCAAAGCCGTTGAGATTTACGATCCAGTTCCAAACGCCGACAGGCCGCTCATTGCAGGAAATCCAAATTACCAAATATACCAGTTGCGTAAAATCGTAAATCGTCTGTCCAATCAAAAGAGAGAAGGAGAAAGAGAAGGAGAAAGAGGAGAAGGAGAAGGAGAAGGAGAAGAAGGAGGAGAAGCAGCAGCAGCAAATTAAAATATCATGGTAGCATTGATGTGTTATATGGTGGCATTAATGTGTTATTGAAAAGCCTGGGAAAATAAGCATGTCTCTGCCAGGCACTGCAAAAAAATAAAGGTGGCACCAAGGGTGAATTTCTCCAGAAATGGTATTCCAGTCTGGAGATCTGAATTCAGCAGCATCTCTTGCTAGGGGATGTGTCCCAGAGCATGTGCAGAGGGCTTAAAGAATTCCAAGTCACTAAGTAGCAGCAGATCCCACTGAAAAAAGAATGAATAAAATGCTCAGAGTAGAGTTGTTTGGTGTGCAGGGCTATTGACAAAGGTAGATCTTCATTACAGTTGAACTAGGAGCTAGGTTTATTAAGATAGGATAGAAAGAAGGGCATCTGTGGAGGAAGTCAGAAAAGTCAAGATGGCATTGCAGCCCTGCAGTTGAAGCCCTGCGCCTTTGGGACACGTGCACGTGTACAGAGAGGGTGGGCTTCGACTGTGTGGTGGTGATCACCCTCTTGACTTTTTTGACCCCTCCCTCAAGACCCTCTTGGAAAGGAAAGCCTCCTTTCCACTTAAGCTCCATCGCAAAGAGAGAGAAGCAAAGAAAACACGGAGAACAGAAGACCCCTTTTCGTCTTTTTAAGTAACCAAGTGAGAACCAGACCTGGAGGGGGGTGTGTGTGGAGACCTTCCCTTTTATCCATTGCTGGCCTTAAGCTCTAGTGGTCAGAACAGCTCCTAGGTACAGAAAGGGAATGCCCCCTCCAACAGGGGGGCTACCACTGAAAAGGCCCTCTCCTGGCCCTAGTTTTGCATGGGAAGACACCTAGACCAGGCCCTGTAAAGTTGTTCTTAGGGACTGAGCTAGGATTTTACAGGGAGAGACAGTCCTCCAGAGGTTGTACTCCTAAACTGCAGTTGATTGATTCACCCACCATGAGCCATCAAGTCAGCCTCGACTCTTAACCAGCATTGCTGGCTGGGGAATTCTAGGAGTGGAAAGTTAGAGTTGCTGAGGTTGGAAAACACTGATGTAAACCTTCTCCAGAAGGATCTGGCCCCAACTTGGTCTTTCAGATCTTCCAAAAGTGCACCCATCACTGCTGTAAATGAGTCTATCCCCTCTTGCTGCTGGTCGTCCTCTTCTTCTCTTTCCTTCCACCTTTCCAATCATTATCGACTTCTCAACAAAGCGAGGTATTCATACTGATTGATTATGTGCCATCCAGTTGGTGAAGGTTCTCGGAGGCCACATAGACAGACCTTCTCCAGGATGATCTGTCCCAACTTGGCCCTTCAGGTCTTGCTGTAACTGAGTCCATCCCCCTTGCTGCCAGTCATCCTCTTCTTCTCTTTCCTTCCACTTTTCCCACCATCAGAGCTTCTGCAGAGAGCTGGGTCTTCATATAATTGTGTCCAAAGTAGGATCAGTTGAGCCTGGTCATTGGTGCTTGAGTGAGAACTCTGGGTTGATTTGTTCAAAGATCCATCGGTTTGTTTTCTTGGCTGTCCACAGTCTTCTCAGGTGTCTTCTCCAACACCAAAGTTCAAAAGCGTCAAACTCTTCCTATCCTGCTTCTTCAAATTTCACTTCCATACAAGGTTATCTAAGATGCAAAGGAATCTTTTAAATCTGTATCTTAAATGGGGGACTTGGCAAGTAAAGGTACATTTTCTTAACTAAGGATTGATTGATTGATTGATTGATTATATGCCATCCAGTTGTGGCCAACCCTTAGCAACCACATAGACAGATTTTCTCCGTGACAATAATTAATGATTAGTTTCCTGAAAGAAAAAAAAAAGGAAAGAATACATTCAAAAGGATCAAATGTTTGTTGGCAGCTGTGAATGTCCCCCCCGCCCCAAAAAAGGCTTACAGCATGACTTAGACTGCATAGATGACATTAGTGTCGATCAAAAATTTATCAAAAATTTCAGGTATGTTTTTTGCCCAGGCAGAGATTCAGTTGCACCATTGTGGCTGTCATCTTAATTTTTTTGACCCTGCAGACATCCCTGAAAATCATATAACAACAACAACAACAACAACAATAATAAATACTACTGATATAAATTCAACATACTACTGACAAAAGTAACATTACAAAACCATGACTGCTTTTAACTGTGCTTTGATTTCAGTGATGGGTTTTAATTTTGGTTTTGCTTCTAATTGCCTTATTTTTTGTTATGTTTTATATATATTCTCTCTCTACATACATACATACATACATACATGCATACATGTATTGTTGTTGTTGTTGTTGTTTAGTCGTTAAGTCGTGTCCGACTCTTCGTGACCCCATGA